TATGTTTAAGCTGTTAATCTCTTCTTGGTTTAGTTGTGGTCATTCCCATCCTTTAGATATCTGTCGATTTCTTTTAGGTTTTCAAATTTAGTAGCATATAGGTTCTGTGTCCTGCATTATCTTTAGGGGGTTCTCATTGTACTCCTCTAGAAGACTATTCGTATTTGGTAGGGATATGTTATTTTGGTTTTTCATGTTATTATTTTTTCTCTGTGATTTTGACGTGTGAATTTATTTTGTAGTTTTTGATTTTTGTGTGAGACTCAAGTCTTCAAGTTTAGGTCTGCTTCTTTTTGTAAACTTTATGTGCCTTTGTGGTTTACTTTTTGGGTATGAAAGGCTGGTTCATCAAACTTCTGGTTCTCTCTTTTTATTTTTATATTAGAGTGGCCAGATTGCTTTTGTCTTCAGGAGTTCCCACAGAGGCCCAAGTCAGATGAGAAGCTGATGCTCTCAGGCTTTCTCCTAAGGTCTGGATCCCTCCAGGAAAGATTTTGGCCTCAGGAATTTGGGGGTTGGACTGCCCTAGAAGCAGGGCCCTGCAAAGATGCTGGTCTTGGGCAGGTGGTGGCTGTGACACTCAGAGATGCAAAGGGAGATTGGGGCGGGAAGTGGCCCCAAGGACTCCTGGGGGCTGCACTGAGGAACTGGGTTGGTCTGGATGCAAAGGATCAGGAAGCCCAAAAGGTCAGCCCTGGAGTCCATGAAAGAGGCTGGAGGGTTGTGCAGCCCAGGGAAGCAGAGGGAGGTGAGGGTGGGACCAGGCCCAGAGGGCTCCTGGGGACTGCGAGAAGGAACTGGGTTGGTCTGGATGCATAGGGTCAGGAAGCAGTGGTGGCTCCCTTGGTGTCTGAGGGCCAAGATAAGAAATGGGACAGGACTCGGGCTAGGAGGAGAAATGGGTGGGGGAGATGGGAGGGTGAATGAGGCTTGGGGAGTCAAGGAGCAGAGGGCGCGATCAACTGGAGTCAAGGTGCAGAGGGCGCCATGGATTTACCTGGAGAGAGGTGGGCGGGTCATGTAGGCCCAGGGAAGGAGAGGGAAGTCAAGGGCTATTTTTCTAAATTTAAATTTCAAAGATATTTCACACATATATAATGGATCAAAAGAACATGACCTTACAATAAAAACTAAAACCACCAAACACACGAGGAAATAAGTTTAAGTTTAATGGACTGGCAACTTACTGAAATAAACTATAGTGTCAGAACTATTAAAAGAGTAAACAATCAGATATAAAACATAAAGTCATTTCATTTAACACATTCTAAATTTAAAAGGGAATCAAAGATATAATTATGGGACAAGAAAATTCTCCAAATAGGTTCAATGACATAAAAAATATTTAAAATGTAGTCATAATTAAATTAGAAACTTGACTTAAGAGTATAATATCCAATTTGATACAATTGAAAAGAAAATGGGTGAATGGAAAGAAAGAAGTAAAGAAATCCCTGACAAGTGAACAGAAAGATCTAAATTTCAGTGTTAATGAAGGAGAGGTAAAGAGAACACAGCTAAAAGACCTCCTGAATCACAGGGAGTTATTAGAAAGAATCAGAGAAGCAACTCAGGATGACAGTGTAGGGCTTTTCAGACACAAAAGACATTGCTCCCCAAATCAGGAAACTCAGTGGATCCCAAACGTAATAAATTAAAAGAAACCAACAAATGACCCATGGAAATGAAAATGCTAACTATCAAACCAAAGACACCTTAAAATCATATAGAAGGAAGCAGACAGCAAATCACAGACAGCTGACATGATAGACACAACTAGGAACGAAATTACACTCTAACATTAACACTCTAAATGTATCTAGATATACTTTAAAAGTTGAATCAGGATGTTTTCAGATGGGTGTGATGGGGTGGTACACAGCTTTAACCCCAACACTCAGGAGGTAGAGGCAGGCAGATCCCTCTGAGGCTAGCGTCAAACAACAAATAAACTAAAGCAACTGATCAACCAACCAATAAAAAGGTGTTTTCAGAAAAATATGGAGAGTTTATTATCACCAGATCTTCACTAAAAGAAGTGTTTGAGGAAGAAAGGAAATGATCTTATCAGGAAAGTCTGAGAGGTAATAAAGAATAGTGAACAGAAAATGTAAACATAGGGTCTAACTAGACAAATTCTGACCATAAATTGAAATAGTGCTAAGAGTCAAGAAAGACTAAAATGACAGAAATTATGATGGGAGAGATGAATAGATTTAAGCTCCCAAGTGCTACACTATGTAGAAGGGGGAAATTTTTATGACCTAGGTTAATAGAGAATGTCAAGCATTAGAGGACAGTATATAGACAGTATATAAATTAGACAGTATATAATTTCCAAAGCAGCAAATAGAAAGATACCTAAATGGGCAGTGGGACACAGAAAAATGTGAATCAGGGGCTGGAAAGATGGCTCAGCAGTTAAGAGCATTGACTGCTCTTGCAGAGGATCCAGGTTCGGATCCAGCACCCACATGGTGGGTAACAACTGTCAGTAACTCCAATTCCAGGGGATCTGATGCCCTCTTCTGACTTCTGCAGGCATTGCATGACATGGGTGCACTTACATACATGCAGACAATATGCTCATACACATAGAATAAAAATAAATAAAAGTTTTAAAACTGTGACTCAATATAGGACACCAATTAACAAGCTAACAACTAGATTATTTGGGCAGATAATATTCACAAAACAGGAGGACAAGACTGAGCCAAGTGCTTTAACAAACAAAAGAGTACAAATGAAAAGATCTTTCCAATTAAAGCTCAAAAATAATAGATGGGAGAAACACTCTTGCCAATGTTGTTTATATAGATATAACTGAAATAAAAGGAAATGGAAAAGTCAAAAGTAAATGGACATTAAAAAATACATCAGTAAATACCAACCAAAAGAAAATCATGGAACTATTTTAATACCAATAGAAAATGGGCAGTGGGGGAAAGATTTATAATGGAAGAATTATGCCATTTTCATAGAAGAGGATAGCATAATTCTAAGCCTTCATATACCTGAAAGCATTACTTCAAAACACATAAAGAACAGTAAAGAAGAGGAAGATTTTAATATAGTTCTCTAAGTAACCGATGGTTAATCACACAAAGACACTGCTATGAACAGAGAAGAAGCAAACTCTGCAGCACCCTGACCTGGTCGAATACATGGAACAGCAGAACCCAACAATGGCAGACATCCTTTCAAGCTCACGTTGAACATCTGCAGCCACCAACTACAAAGTAAGCCATGCAGCAAACATCAAGAAATTCTGAAGGAATTTCTCTGGCCACGATGCAAGCCTGGTTGACCTGAGTTCAATCCAGCAGCCCATGTCAAGGTGGATGGAAGGAATAACCTCCACAGAACTGTCCTCTGATCTCCACATGTACCAGGTCACAGGAACCCACCCATCATACACACACACACACACACACACACACACACACACACACCCCTCTAAAAAGTTAAAAAGAAACATTGAATAACCTTGTGCAAACTTATTAGTTAAAAATAAAGGGCTAGGGGATATATCTTAAGAATAAAGCACTGGCCTAACAAGTGTTCAGTCCTTGGCAATGCCAATAAACAAAAAAATTAACTATTGAACACAGTTAATTTTCACTCTAAAAGTAGCTGTAATTATTAAAGGAGTATTTTTAATATTTTGGTAATTCCTAAATATTTTCATAATCAGGTTACATGACATAGTCACATCTGTTTTCAGAGTGTATAATGATCAAAAACAACCCATTCGTGCAGCATTCCAAGTACTGCTGCTTTGGCCAAGTCCTATGCATTCTTCATGACCTCATGGTGTTGTCAGAGACAGGTGGCACTTCCCCTCCGTGAAGCTGGTTTAAATGGCAGATACCAGGAAAATGGCAGTGACTCTTTGGAGCTAAGCAAAGACAATTTCAGAATGTCTGCTAAAATTTGCTTTTCTAAAACTAGCTTCATTTTCATTGGGTATATTTAAAGAATTTAAGTCTTATATGCTTAAATCTTCATAAATAGCTCAAATTTACTTTATGTTCTCTTGAAGGGTGAATGGGTTAGAGATATAAGTACTCATTAATTATAACTGAAGAATTTTATGAAGTTATAAAATATCTTCAATTCATTCTATTTTCACCTTCAGTGGAGTGTGTGTGTGTGTGTGTGTGTGTGTGCAATGCTGTTTTTGAAAGCTAATCAGTGACTAAAGCAGGTCCAGTGTAAAACTATTCACATGTAGAAGGATCATATTACTTCCTGAAAGGTATTTAGTACCTGTACTGAATTTGAGAAGTCTAGAAGAGCTTAACTCAGTATACTTTATATTAAAAGAAAAAAGAAAGCAACTAAATTCCAACTTGGCTTCTTCCCATTAATCACTGTGAACCTTCTATAAAAACTCTTCAACTTGAACACGTCCTTGAGTGTGCTCATCAAAGAGCAGAACTGTTCCCTTGAGGCCCCCTCCTTCTATCTTCACAAGACACATTAGCAAGCCCCCAAATGGAGAGAGAAAACCAGTGCAATCAATTAAGTGTTAAACAGTTCCAGGATTGAATGCCTGAATGGAACAATGCTGACCAATGACCCAAATAAATTTGAGGCACATGCTTTTCCATCCCAGAGCTATCAGGGTCAAAGCAGGCTCACCACTTTCATGTCGCCCTCTTCATGACACAACATCCTATCACTGAATAATAGAAGACAAACACTGACCTAGTTTAGAAGTACAGATGAAAAGAAAATGAAAACAGGATACATGACAGCAGCAAGGAAACCATGGCAACTAGGGGAGGACTGTTTTGCTTACTTTATTTTGGTCAGAATAATCGGCAAGCTGAGCCTTTAGCTCTGAGATCTCAGCCTCCAGCAGACGGATCACTTCTTCATAGTCCATTTCCATGCCACGTGCCTGCCTTTGTGCAGCCTCAGCAAGATGAATCCGGCTTCGCAGAGCTCTTGTTTCTTCAGCTACAGCTTTGGCTTCCTAAGGAGTTCAAAGTTCATGTCCAGTGAAAACAAACGTAAACAATATATTCCAAGTCTATACAAAATATTTTCCCCATTGCTGTAGCTATAATTCCAAAACTGATACATCTGTGTTCTCTATTCATCACTTGGAAATTAATAGATGTTATTCCATTACGTGGCTCAGCTCCTGCTTTTGTTAGTTTCTTGGAAGTTTTTCAGTATAGAATCTTTAACTTCACACACCTAGCATAACATTTGGAAAAATGAAAGAAGGTGAGCAAAGCTGAAAATGGGAAAAGAGAAGAATAGGAAGTGTTTCAAAGACAAAAGAGCAGGATACAGCAAATCTGAAGTGGCGGTGGGGCTTGTGTTCTAAAGAGGCCAGCACGGCTCCATCGGATGCTGCTAGGAGATCCACAGTATCAAGGACCTTCCTGGTGGACCAAGCCCTAGGGGTAAAAACTTCTTCCTAGACAGCAGAGCGGTGCTTTTTGGTTAGATTTAACCCAAAAGGTGGAATTTAGTAGCACAATCTCTCTGTTGGATGCAGTGTTCGTAAGACAATTACTAAATCATATCAGGTGCTTTGTTTGCCTTCTCTAATTTAATTTTAGAGTGACAGCTGGTGAAGGGCATTATAAACCATAAGTAGGCAATCAGAGACTTAGAGAAGAAAACATAAGCTGATCAAAGGACACAGAGCATGCCAAAATTTGAGCTCAAACCTGATTGATTCTAATAGTAACATCCTCTTTTCATCATTTTACTACTTTGAATGATAGAATAAAACATCCTCTACACACTAGCTACACTCTCCACGTTACAAAGGTTAGGGTGGCAAAAGATCTCTTGCTCTCTCAAAATATGCCTTGGCACCAGGTCGCAGACAGTTCCCTAGGACACCAGTATAATTTAACATGGCAGCTATTACAGCATAAACCATTTCTTTAGTGGACGCAGTCATTGCTCTCCTCTGCAACAGAACTTTCTGCTCCAATTGCCATGGCTAATATTAAACTATGGTTAGTTTAATTTTCTTGGAGCTGTTATGGAGCATTTGCTTGTACTTGAGTTTAAATACATATGAAGTGCTGACAGGTAGGGATACGGGACTATTACCAAGGCTCTGTTTTCACTCACATATTTGTCACTATTTACTAAGTACTTTTTATATGTCAATTTCTGAAATAAGCAGGAACAATAAGAACAACTCTTTCATCCTTCAAAACCTGTATTCTAGCCTGGAGAGACAGACAAAAGCTTATGGATTATCAGCGAAGATCTCAGTGAGAGCACACTGACCAGAGACCCACAGAAGCGACAGTGTCATGATTCCCCCCAAAGTGAGCTTTCCGGGCAAAATAAACAGGTGTGCAAAGGCCCCGGATTTAGGACTGGGCTTTGTGTCTTTGACAGTAAAAACAGAGGCAGTGAGTAGTATGGGAAAAAGAGGGCACTAGTACGGTATGAGGCAGAGGGGTAGCAGGGGTTCCCGGTGGGGACAGGGTGGACTGGAGAGGCAGACCTCATAAATACCTGGGGGTCACTGGAAGGAGCCTGGCTTCCCTTGAGGTAAGGCAGGAAGTGACTAAAGGGTTTTGAGCAGAAAAGTAATACGAACTGGCTTAAGTCTTCAGTTTATTTTCACTGTTAGCAGCTTGGAGGGGAGGACAAGGGTGGAAGCTGAAAGAAGAGGAACGGGGCAGAGGAAACTCATTGTGGCTTGGAAAGGCGGATTGCAGTAGAGATGGTATAAAGTCACAGTCTCAATATGGTTCAGAAGAAGAGCAACGGCCGGGTCATCAACAACATGAATTTAGCATCTACTTCATGCAGACAACCACACAATGTGATGCAAATACAAAAGATTACCTACCCCCCTTTCTGTGGCTCAGCTTAGAACATAAGACATGGCTTCAATAGAGGAAGTAAGTTATGATAGATAGCACAGAATTAAACACCACCACCGCCACCACAAAAGACAACACCAACAAATGAGCAAGGCAGGAAGGAATGATGGATTTTCACTGGGGTCAAGGCTTCCTATAGGGAACAATGGATTGTTGAAAAGAAAAAAAGCTGGGGAGAGGAGAAAGAGACAGGTTCTGGCAGAAAGGACATGAGGGCAAAGGCTCTTGGCTCCATGGGACATCTGAAGCCTTTTGAGAGGAAAATGACATAAGAAAGCACATTAGAAAGGTAAGCCTGAGGGTTGGGCAAGACACATACAGAGCTCTGGATTAGATGCTCAGCACTGTGAATAAAATAGAAATGTATTTTGAATATGTATATATATATGAATAAACAAAATTTAAAAGGCAAACTTGAGAGATACAAAATGGAGTATCGGTGGTCAGTAAAATAGAGTAAATTGTGGTCAGTCCAGCTGCCTTCCATATCTTTGACTCAGAGACTTTTATTTCCTTGTATCTCCAAGTCCTTGTCTTATAACAGAGGAGCACCTTTAGAAACAAGGGTCTGGAAGAGAAAAAGAGTGTTTGCCTGGCCCACCACACCTGTCAGTCCAGGTGATCAAGAAAGTCACCAGTGATACAGTGGGTCAACTTCGCACCAGCCTGCTGCTGAGCACACAGGAGGTAACCGCTTCATGTGCCAGCCCTGTTCTATAGGGTCTATAAGTCAAGTCAGCTAATCTGCACACTAATATGAGCTATGTCTATTACTGTCCTTGTTTCAAAGATAGGAAACTGAAAGCTTATATAACTAACACACCTGTAAGCGGCAAATCTGGGATTTGAACCTATGCAGTCCAGTTACAGAGTTCATGTTCTTGGTTACTAAGTCTATACTACCTTGTCAAATACATGAAATCTTAAAAAAGAATCATTCATAGGTGACAATTAGCAGCAGCAGAGCCAGCCCAGCACTGGCTTAGATGTGACCATAACTACAGACTCAAACACATTCGAGGCCCCCAACTGAATTGCTTCCCATTTTCCATTCAATCAAGCTTTAAAGAATAAGATAAACACTTCTAAGTGAAAGAGGAAGGGCAGGAAGATCACTCTGGCTGCCATGAAGAATAACTAATTTAATGATTTGTCTCCTTCACACTCCCTTCACGCAGCTTTTATTCCTCTATAAAAACAGCACTTTTATTTTTGTTCAAAGAATGCTGGTTAATTAAATGAAGAATCTGGATGGAGTTTATACAGCTATTACAATGCACTGATGGTAATACAGTGTGAGATGTAGCTGGGTGGTAAAAGATGCAGAGGTTTTGATGCTGAATAAATTCATGCCATTTTTTTTGTAAATGTACAACTGTCAGGCTGGTGAATGTGACCCCTTAGCAAAGTTCTAGCTCAGTTCCCGCTGAATGGCTGTTTAAAAGATCAGTGCATTGAAATGATGCCTTTTAGAGGAAGCAGTAAAGAAAAGATAACAGCAGTGGGCCGGATTTAGCCAGAGAGGATCACATCAATCCATTTTCTCTTTTCCTCCCAGGCTGTCTTCTAATAAATAACTGTAAAGCCTCCCGTGTTAGTAACATTTGAGCTAGAATTTTCTCAGTGCCTCACCATGAGCTGAAATCTCAATCTGGACAAATGCTGTAGTGGATTTATTGGTATATTTTATTGAGGTAAAGGTACAGATTAGACAGATCTTAAAGTAAAAACTAAGACATAATAGTGGAACAGACAAATCAGCAGAAGCATGCTTTTTAATAGTAGGCAGTAAGTAGGAGAAAACTAAGAAGGGAATCCTGAATTGGGAAGTAAAATCTGAGTTGAAAATTTTTTTAACACTGAGGAAATGCCGTCGGCTCACAGTGTGCCCCTTTGTGAAATGGGGGTTTTCTTCCTCACAATTTTGCAATGAATCTTTAGGGAAGATCCACCCAAATTCCTCTTTGGAAATAATTCAACTTAGTGAAGATCTCTGCAGGCTTGGAACAGTTTAGTTTTAGTCATATGATTGTTGAGAAAAAGGGCAGTTTGAGTTTAGACAAAGGCCAGCATGCTATGTGTTTTCCTATATGTAGCATTTTTCACCCTCAAGGCAATGTGGTCTACAACAAACCAAAGCAAAACTGACAGACAGAAAAAAGAAAACCACGTGCCTAGTATAAAAAGAATGGGCTTTGGATGGGCCCTATCCAGGTCAGTATCTTAGATCTGAGATTTGTTTTCTCCCATTTTCTCCTTTAATAATTCTCTAAGACTCGGCTTGTTCAATTATAAGACCCAAACAGCTCTTACATGAGGATTAAAGAAACTATAACCATCCTTGGTATGGTTTTTGACTGTTTTGGAAAATATACATATTATTTATGCTATTCAACAGCCTCATTAGGTCATTTATTAAGCTTTCCTGAGGTTCTCAATTGGTAATGCTAGCTCTTAACCTTTAGGGAAATGTAATTTGTGCATGTCTTTTTTAATGGTAGAACATGTGACGTGAAGTCCTTTGCTCTCTAGGTATGAGTCCTAATAGTTCCCCAATGTAGGAGCGACGTCCCTTGCAGTTGGACATTTGTAGTTAGCCTAGCAAGTCCATGGCACTATACAAGCTCGGTAATTCTTAAGCTAATCAGTAAATCTTTCAGATGTCAGTGGTTGACAGGAGAAAACAGCATATTGCAAAGATCTATGTTTTGGTAACTTATGGCACCAAGCCCTAGGAACACTTCTCTTATCAGTTTCCGACATTCACTCATTGGAAAGCCTTTCTGCGTCTTGGGTCCTATTTACAGTTTGTGAAAAAGATTAAGGGTTACTGCAGGAAGAAGGCTGCTGAATCAGAATTTTTCAAAAGCAAGTTATGTCTGGTCTCTATATATCTGAATTACTTTTTCAGACACGTCTCAAAGGCTGATCTTCAGGTGTTTTGCACAGATATTCATGAATGAACACACTGCAGAGGCATAAATGAAGAATCTAAATTTACAAAGTTTTAAAAAATATTTATGTGTATGAGTGTATTGCTACATGTATTTAAGTGCACCAGTGTTGTGCAATGCCCATGGAGATCATAAAGAGAGCGTTGGATCCC